TATTTTTTTTTACACTTAATGAAACTTTTGGTGCGGGTTTTTTTTTTTTTTTTTTTTTTTTTTTTCTTCTCCCCAGTTTCATAGCATTTGACAAATAACACGAATAGAAAACCTGGAATGAAACTTGCCAGAACTTTCTTTCCCTTCCTTTTCTGGCAAGAGATCTAGTTGAACTTTTTTGAATTCCAGGCATCAAATATATTTTGATAAAATTTCAGAAGCTTTCACAAGCTCTCCTGTGTCTTGAATAAAAATTGAACTTGTGATTTTCTACAAAATAATTTCCAGTATTTTTCTGCTGATAATATTTGTATTTAAAGCTTTAACTATGAGTAATTACTAAGGACTGCTATATTTACTGTATTCCAGTTTGGATCATTGCATTTTGAAAGCTTCGTTCTCACTCTGTTTCATTTCTGTTCAAGACAGTATTTACCTTCTGTCCCATCCCAAAGTATTGTGTGCGTGGTCAGAGCGCCCTTGTGCTGTACCCCAGAACAGGCTGCCTTTTGATCATCAGTGAAGCTTTTTGTGATGCATAAAATACCCATCTCCTTCCTGGGCTTGCTCTGAATCATCCTTGTTAAATTTAAGGGTAGAAGAAGTGTGTCTCACCTCAACTGTATTGAAATTAGATTAAGAGTCACAAGATTGGCTCTTCTGCATTTTCAATGTGCTTATGGGTTTTGGGCCTGTGGGGATTTAAGCACACAAATAAGACTTCTGCTGGTGGGTTGGTTACAGAGGGAGGCAGGGCAGGGCACTGCTGGCGGGCAGTTTGCCTGCTCGGGCAGAGCCGACCATTACAGTCCCAGCGGGCTGCTGAGCTGCGTCCTGCGGGCCCTGTTCTGCTCCTGCCACCCCTGCCCTGCTCCTGGCTCTGCCCTGCTCCTGCCCAGGGAGGTCCTCCCCAGCCTGCCTTCAGTTGTTCCCAGATCCCATAGCCCCTGTCATGCAACCAGCTGGGAACTCCTTGGCAGCCTGTTTATGAGTCTTAAAGTCTCCTGTCCCCACTGTGCAAGAGCTGACCTTGTGTCTCTGATTCAGCCTTATTTCCAGGCTTTCTGTATGGTCTCTTGTTCCTGACCGGTTTTCTTGTGTCGGCTCTTCTTTCAGCTGCTCACCGTATTTTCCTCCCCAATTCTTTCACATTCTCCAGCACTCTCCTATTGTAACCTTTATTCTCCATCTTTCAAAGCCTTAGTTCTGTGTCCGGCTTTCTACTCAAATCTCCTTCCAGCATCCCAGAGTGTCATGTCCAGCACCCTGCCTGATGGGCTTCAGTGTTCACTGAATGCGATCTGACATCAACTTGGCTGGGAAGTATTGCACTTCTGTTCTTAAGAGAAAAATACTGGGAGAGCAAAACTTTCAATGAGAGTCTGCGTGTAGGTAATGGGGGGCCTCGAAAATCTCAAGTGAAGCAGGATTTTGTGCATTTGATGCTTTGCTCAGGAGATCATGGAAAAATGAATGTCAACCACGTAAATGTTAAGTTTTTTGTAACAAGTATAAACAGTGAAAGTGAAAAAACCCGTCTCTTAATTAATTGCAATACTGGGCTTTCAAGCTCATTTAGAGCTGGAAAATACTGTTAATTCATCAGATGAAGAGGTCAGAGTTTGACTTACCAGTTAATTTTTCACCTTCATTAGGAACACAGAGAAGTAAAATTCTGTGTGGTCTCCACTGTCCTTGACTTAACTGGGAGTTACACATGCTCAGTACCACCCAGGACCCTGTGTCTGAAGGTGTGATGTAAGGTTTTTCCAGTTATTAAGAACATGCGGTCTTTTTCTTTCTAGGCCCTCCATCTGCTCCCCAGAACCTGATTTCCAATGTCAATGAGACATCGGTGAACTTGGAGTGGAGCCCCCCCCAGAACAAAGGTGGTCGGGAAGACATCTCCTACAATGTGGTATGCAAGAGGTGTGGTGCCGGTGACCTCAGCCGCTGCCGGTCCTGTGGCAGTGGTGTGCACTTCAGCCCCCAGCAGAACGGCTTGAAAACCACCAAAGTCTCCATCACTGACCTTCTGGCACACACTAACTACACCTTTGAAGTCTGGGCAGTGAATGGAGTGTCCAAGCAAAATCCCAGCCAGGACCAAGCTGTGTCAGTCACTGTGACAACCAACCAAGCGGGTAGGAACCTAAACACAAATTCTCTTCCTCTCCTGCCTGTTTTTTTAGGAAAGCTGTGATTTCCATTACATTTAGTATTAGCAAATGAATGCAAGGAGCCCTAAGATGCGTAACTGGGTCAAACCCTTATTTTCTGGCTATTTATATGGGTAGTTTAAATTCTTTAGAGCTAGAAAAACAGAGGAGGGTTTGACTCGTTTTGCTGGGAGCAGAGCTTTGCTGCAGAATGCAGTGAGGACGCTGGGAGACATTCTGCAGAAGCAGAACAGCAGAGCTGCCCTGGGCGACATGAGGGGACAGAGCGAGGGCCGCCAGCGGCCTGGCCCTTTGGAGGGGAGACCCTGCACACGGTCACAAATGTGCCCTTGGTGTTCATAGAGGGCAAAATCTGCGCTGGGGGAGTGCACCACTGTGCTTCTGCCTCCTTCCCAAAAGGGCTGTGTAAGATTCAAAAAGAAGAATGAGCTGGTGCTCCCTTGCGTGCCTGCTCTCTCTCCTCTCCCTGCAAAGTCAATTAGATTCTGTCCCATTGTTAAATAAATACCTCCTTAACCTGCTGCTAACAACGTTTCAATTGATCAGAGCTGGCATTACTTTAGAAATCCTATATGAGCTTTCATCTTCATGCTGGCTGAGTTTTGCGTTTCGCTCATCTGGGAGAGTGAAATACCATTTCTGTTTATACCTGATTATTTCAGATACCCTGGGCAGTTCTACTGTTTTCAGTCCCCTGTGCTTGACCTAGTAAAATCTGCTGCAGCAGATTTGTGGTTTAGTTTTGATGATAATTCATATGATTTTTTAATTACATGGAAACATTGCTTGTTTGCAGCTAGCTAGGGTTTCAAGCACGAGGTTCCAGTTGAATTTTTAATTTGATGCACAAAATTATATACATTTGAATAGGACACTCTTCTATATGCAAATTCGATATCCAGACTGTCAGACCGGCTACAAGACTGTCAAACCTGTTACCTAATTGCTCTCAGTGCTGATTGCCTTCTCGAGTCCCACAGATGTTGCAGGCATTAAAGTGTAGCTTACAGGGCTATCATTTATTGTTAGACTTATGGTGTATGGCTCAATATTAATATTTTATATTTTGATAGTACTGGACTGTAGAAATCTTTTGAATTCTGTTTTCTAGTAGATGCGTGTGAAACATAGCTATGTGTAGTCTAAATCTACAAATTTTAGCTGTAGTCTAGAACACTTCAACATTAACAGTGAGAGATACATTCAATTTTGCAGTGACAGTTACAAGCAAAATTGTGGGGTCCACGCTGAGGCTCCTTTGAAAATCTGGTCCAGTGTTTTTTGTTCTTTACACATACAGTTGCCAGCATCCCTTTTAAATTATGAGTCAAAAATTCAAACTACTGCTTTGCCTAGTGAAAGAAGACTAATGGAGCACAGGGGCTATTACAGAGTCTTGGGAGAAAGCTGTGGGAGAATTCTGTCATATGCTATACGAAAAGAGAAGGTTGAGAACAGCAGCAGGGACACTGTTTCTGTGCTATGAATGCCTAGCAAAAGAGAGTATTTCTGACTGATTCTGGCATGTGTAAGGATTAGTGGATGCATATATGCATAAATAAGTGAGTGGGATCCATCTACCGTGTGAAAATTCTACCATCTTATGCTTTAATATGCAAACCGAAATCTGATTGAATATGCAAATAAGAATTGATTTTGTTTATTATCCATGAGTAGCAGTTCTTCACATCAGGAAATTTGTATTTTTGCCAACATTTCCAATTATGAAACATGCCCAGTCTATCAAATGCTTCAGAGGGCCGGAGAAAACTGTACCGGTACAAATGAAAATTAACTCCAAGGTGCCAGTGTTCTCCCTGTTCTTCATACAACTTTGTGTATTCTGCTGCATAGAAGATCTTAGTAGAAATGTATGGCCTAAACCTACAGATCTCAACTGAGATAAATAGTTCTTACGTATGCAAATAATCCCATTGATTCCAGTGAAACTGCTTGCTTGAGTAAAGGTTTGTAAAGTTGGACCCTTGGGTTTTACAAGCACTGATCTGTTTAATCATTGTAAATGTGTGTCTGGGGTGCATTAAAATTCTTGTGCCGCTCATTTTCTTTCACTATATTTCATTATAAAGAAATCATGTCACGATAGAGCACTGCCACAGGCTTGGTTTTGATCCTGCACCATTCTTACACTAGTGTAAAGCTGCCTTGGTTTCTTTGCTGCAATTTCTAAATTCAGATTAGAGCCAAGCTCCTCAGTTTTGCTAGTATAAATGACAGTACCAACACTGAAAATATGTAAATTACTTTATTGGTTTTGCTACCTATGTTTGCGCTTTCCAAAGTTTGATAGGGGAAAAAAAATGTTGTTAATGTGGTTCTTTAGTTCTTTAGCTATGAGCAGTGCTCTTGGGTCATATTCTGGGGAATTTGCTGGAATTGTTTGCAAGAGGTGCATCATGGAGTTAAAAGGCAGCAGGGATGACAGAGTATGCCAGGGACCAGGAAACCCTTCCTCTTAACACCAGTCTCAAACTGACCTTTCAAATATGCAACCATATCATCTGAAGAAAATCTATAGCAATTTCAGAATGCAGTTTTTGATGTCAGAATCACAAATCCAAGTATTTGTATGTTTGCTTGCATTGGTGCCAGCCCCTACAGAAGTTATGCATTTGGAGATGGACAGAAAGCAATGAGAAATCAGTTACTGCTATATTCTGTACGAAATTGAAGAAATGTGTTGCAATGACATAAAAGGTGCAGTTGAAAGGCACAGGTGGTTTTTTGTTTGCTTTTGCCATTTTATTCCTGGAGATAATGAAATGAGGCAGTTTACTTTCCCCCTTTGTTTAGAAACTCTTTTCAGTTTCCAATACTGTAGAAAAATGTTTAAATGAAAATAAGCTTTTGCCATTCAAAGTAGGATCAAAAAGCATTTGAAAAAGTATTTTTCCTGCTTCCTTTGAAAAGGTCCTGGTTTTTACAGCTTTTTTTTTTTTTTTTTAAAGAGAGAAGCTACATTTCAGGCTTTGAAGCAAGTAAAAATTTCTGTCTCCTGGTAAAATACTTCAATGTTGTGACATTTTAAGAACTTTGAGTGGTGAATTCAGCTTGCTATTCTGCATGTTTAGTATGACAACTTTTTTGAGAGGGGGAACTGCTACTCTATTCCCATATAAGTTTAAAAAGGCATTAAAAAAGCAAAGGGTGGAACACTAAGCTGTTGAAATTTGGAGCCAGTGCCCTTAGCACAATGAGTACTGGGAAATGCTGGTCTTAAGGGTCTCCGCCAGCACTGGTGACTGTTGTGGTTTTCTGCTTTCGATCAAATGAAATCAGCGCTTTGTCCATCTTTTAAAAATGTGAAATGACTTGTGGAAGAGATGCAGACCAGCAATTCTCATGTGATGCTGCTAGGAGAAGCTAATTTCAATGAGAAACCCTACCAGCCAGTTGACTGAATAGCTCAAAAATCTCTGGGCTCTCTTTTTTTTTTCTGCTAAGGATAATGCTGCGAAGCTGTTCAAAATTAAAAGTAAATCTCTTAATAAAGAGACCTTGTTCACAGCAAGCAGGAAGCTTTTGTTTTTTTGAAGAGGTGCTGAACAGTTTATATTTTTATTAAAGATTACAGCCGAGCTGTTTAGGTCTCCAACCTGACAGCCAGGTTCACGGGTAAGTTCGCCCATGTGCGTGCCCGAGGGGACAGCACCGCAAGGACAAGGTTTTGCACAGATGCTAAAGGCGTTCATAAGGCGGGGAGTGGTGGTGGTGGGGAAGCCTACACAAGCTCTAAATGAGATTTAAAATCCAAACTCTTTATGCTTCTTGCTTTCCTCCCTTCTTTTTGTTTGCATTTTATGAGGGATGCGTGCCCTTTTTGCTCCTTTGCTTGTTGGAGTTAAAACGATTGCTACTGCTGAATAAACAGACTGCCTGGTGAGTTGTTACCTTGTTAGGTTACCTTGGGCTCAGGGCTTCCTTAAGTGAGCCGGCACAGCTAGATGGAGGCAGGATGTGCCGATTAGGATGAAAATACAATGTAAATAAATAAACTTACTCTTTCTCTCATTGCATCACTGGATGTTTTCAAGCTGCCTGTGCTCAGGATCAAGAACTGATCTTTCTTAGAAATATCTCAGGCTTGCTGTCCCATTTTTCTCTCTTTATGCTCTCGCTCCGCTCCCCGGCTCCTTTGTCTCTGCGATCCCCCACACCTTGCCTGTCTGTTTGCCTCTCTCAAAGCTGCTTCCTCTCGGAGGCAGAGCGGTGTGGCCGGCTGTGCTGCAGTCCTTACCCCCCTCTTCTGTATCCTCCCTGGTCCCTCACCGTCACTCAGAGCCCTGCAGTTGTTCAGTATCCATTTCCAGGCAGGAACTAAAATGGGTCACGGTGCCAGCAGGATTTGAGGACTGCCAAGAAGACCCCCGTAAATTGAGTATTCTTCTGGGACAGGCTGCTGTTGTGGTGACCAAACTGTGAGGAACCTGAAATACTGACATTCAGTGCAGGAAAGGAAAATGCCAGCTCAGGTTTATTTAGCCTTTAGGTTTGTTTGTTGTTTTATGTTCTTCATTCCATAAAAGAAAAAAAAAATCTGAAAGATCCTGATCCTTTGAGGATGATTGTGTTTTAAGTTAGAAGTGGCGGGAGGGGGAAAGAAGTGGGAGTCATTTGCTTCCAGATGACTCTCAAGTTCTACTGGACTTTTTGATAGGGAATATATAGCCCCCTTTTGCATTTCGGTGGGTCGTCTTTGAAAGCCCACGTCTCCTTTCAGATGCTGATTAGCATTCCTCACGTGTCGTACAGAACAGAACAGAAAATGCATATAAGGTCTTACATTCTGCTGGTGTGGTTTAGCCCGTGCAGACTTAAATTCGCAGTCAGTAAAAATTCATGGGCATACATTGCCCTTGGTCAGTGTGCACTCCTCATATTGACAACGTAATAGGTGCTCAGGCAGATCAAAAGCAAAACATGCCAAGGCCAGGAAACTTAAA